CAATTATTTGCAAGCGAGACATATCTATGCCTCACATGCATTGCACTAATCCTTTTTTATCGAAAGAATGATGAATCTCTAAAATTTTGTGTGAATTAGAAGACTTTAAATAAGATCATGTTGAAGAACAAGTACTCAATGCCTAACACAGAAGACTTTTTCAATTGACTAGAGTAGATGTGGATCTTCTCAATTAAACTTGAAGGGTGACAACCATTAAGTTTGAATCAAAGAATTAGATGAACATAAAATAACATGTGTTACACATTATGAGTTATATGAGTTTATTATGACATCTTTTGACCTAACAAATACTCTAACAATATTTGGTATATTTATGAATTATATATTTTAAACCTTTTTAAATAAGTTTGTCGATATATATTTATATGAGATTTTGGTTTACAATCATATTATGTACAAACATTTGTCACATTTGAGACATGTTTGACATATTGAAAAATCATAAATTATATTTCAACATAGTGAAGTGTACTTTTACTGTTACAAAAGTTAAATTTATCGAGCACGTGGTGAGCAATATATAAGTATAAATAATTCAAGAAAATGTGGTTGTGATCAAGGAATAACCAGCACCCAAGAGAATATCAAAATTAAGATAATTTTTAGGACGTGAACTACTATCGCAAATTTATAAGGAGCTTTTCAAATATAGCAACACTATTAATAGAGTTCCTCATGAAAGATCAAAGTGTGGATAGTAAGATGTTAGCAAGTATTAGACAATCTACACACAACCATCATAGAGTTATATGCACTCTAACTATCAAAATAAATCTTTTGAGGGATATGTCAACTCTTCAAATGTGATCATTAGAGGAATCTTAATACAAGATATTAATCTTATTGAAGGTAAGAAGTTGAATGGCATTGAATAATACTACTCAATGCATGAGAAATAGATAACAATCATGATTCAATACTTATGAGTTTTGTGAAATTATCTATTATATAATTATTTCATTATTTATTATTAACAATATTATCACCATCACTATTTATTTTGATTCTTATCAAAAATTATCTCCAAAATAAGCTCGTTGGTAAGACCTTTTGGCTGAATATGATTTCTCACTCCAATACAAGTTAGAACATATTAATGTAGTAGTTGATGTGTTGAATCATCAAGAGGCTACAAACAAAGTGACCACACTTTCAAAAAGTATTAAAGACTTACTAGATGACATACGAACAACATATACCACGGATACAACATCTAAACACTTCATCTAGTAGACAAAGACAGAAGAGACCCCACGACTCTAGATGGAAGATGTTATTTTCAATGCAAAAGGTCACCGATCATATATGCCATATAGTGGGCAACTATGACAACAACTTCTACAAGAGAGACATGATGCATCACATGTTGTATATTCAAGACAACAAAAGATACTAACTTTGCTAATAAATAGTTACTTTTGACTTAACATAAAACGAGACTTAGAGATAAATATTTGTTTTTATCTTATCTATCAACATGATAATGTTGAATGATGAAATAATATAGAAACATTAGAATCACTTCTCATATCAAAAGGACTATGTGAGTAATTATTTATAGACTTCATCACATGCCTCCCACACATTAACGACTACAATGTCATCTTAATAATAGTTGACTGATTCTTGAAATATGAGACCTTCATACTTACATAATTAAACTACAAGACAAAGAAAATTATAAGACTTTTCTTGTCACACATCATCAAGCTCAAGACATAATGTGAAATATTGTTTCTAATCGTGATCCATATTTTATGAGATGATTTTAGTTAACTTTCTTCACCATTATCGACATTGAGCTTAATTTCTCTATTGCTTTTTGTTCTTAGACAAATGAGTAGACAGAACAGATGAATGACACCTTTTAAAATTATTCATAGTATTATGTCACAACTTAACATGACCATTAACATTGAGTTACTCAACGTCATCAATTTACTTACAACATACAATAATGTATGTCTATGAGACACTCACCCTTCGAGCTCACCACTAATTGTTAACCCTTAACATTGCTAAAGGTCGTCAAATAATGGGTCTGAGATAGTTACTATTTAGTTATCGCTTTGTAAAGTAAAGGTAAGGTCTCATTGAAGAATCTTATAAGGTTTTGGCCAAGGCAGCTTGATGAATGAAGAAAATTGTCAATTGACATTGACATGAGATCAAATATAATGTGGATGATTATATATTGTTACACATTTATCCTACCCACAAGAGTCTTTAACAATAGAAGCACCATAATGAATTGATGCCTCGATTCAATAGGCTATTTCAAATTACCACACGAGTGAGACATTTAGTCTATCAATGATAACTTCCACCACATCTTTTGACACACCTAGTCTTCCATATACCTACTTAAAGCTTATCATGTAGATGAAGAAGACTTAAAATCAAATCAACCAAATTGACCTTCATTGATGAGTCAAACACATTATTCCACATTAGTGGAGATAATATTAACCATCAATTGGTTGAAAAAGGTGGCTCAAATCATACCCATTGTAACACATTCTACCTGAAGGGGGAACACTTAGTCTCGTACTGAAATTATAAGGAACATATATAGAGGCCCATCTATGAAGAGTGACCTCGGGCCTATATATGAATCACTTTTTTTTATGAAGAATACCTCCATGGGTCACATAGGGGTTGGTTGGGGAAACAAATCACCCATCACTCAGTAAGAAATTCGAATAGAGCATCCAACTTCCTTGTTAGAAGTAGGCATGAACAATGAAAAAGTTATGTTTAGAAAAAGAATATGTAAAGGAGTTACTATAAAGATGCATAGGTTAATAGCTCTAGAAAATTTTCTCCCCCTCTACTTAAATAATACGAATGTGATCCTTAACATGTAGTGGCTATGGAAATTGAGAATGACATAGGTCAATTAGAGTCAATTGACTATAAAATTCTATAAAAAAGGAGTGGTGATGACCTCAATGAGACTATGATCTTTGCAAATCGAGAAACTCCTTAAAGTTGATGGACTGCAAACTTCACTAGAGTCAAAGAGTTTTAGTAAAATCTCGCTAATTGACTTAAGATGACTACATAAAATATATGAGAATGACATCAACACTTAGGGAATGAATTTGAGGTAAGTTCTTAATTGTGTTTGATAAAGTGAGTTATCTACCACTAAGGTGTAACATTGAACACATCATACAGTTAGAATTAGGGGCCAAACCTATAAATGTTTGACCTTACTAATACCCCTACTACAAACAAATATGAGATCAAGCATCTCATATGAGAAATGTGTCCCCAACATCATCCAACCCTCTACTTCTCCTTACTTCATTCTAGTCCTAATTAGTAAGAAAGAATGATAATAGTCAAGGCTTCTACATAGACTATCATAGACTTTATCATGCCACTATTTTAAATTCAAGTGCTGAACAAATTCATTGGTGAACTACACGATGCCATCATCTTTTTTAAGTTGGATCTCAAATCTAATTATCATCAAATTCATATTAAGATATAAAATATCTCAAAGACAAACTTTGCAACACATGAGGTTAATCTAAATTCTTAGTGATGTCATTCGGAGTAAAAAATATTTGATAATATTTTAGTTATTAATAAATCAATTTATTTTAAATTTTATTTGAAAATTTATTCTAGTGTTTTTTTATGATATCTTAGTCTACATTAAAGATATAGTTACTCATGAACAACACTTGGACCAAGTTTTCAATGTTCTATCAAACTATTGGCTATATATCAATGATAATAAATATATTTTTTGAGAATCAAGGATGAAATATTTGAGACATTAGGTGTTGATCATAGGTGTGGAAACGGACCAAGCAAAAGTAGATATGATGTACTAGTGGTCCACACCAACTTATCTTCATGAGTTTCATAGCTTTTTGAACCTCATTATGTATTAACAATGGTTCATGAAAAGGTATGAAATCATTTCTTTGACCACTCACTCAAATGCTGAAGAAAGATACATTCCATTAGACTTAGGAGGTGGGTAAGACTTTTCAAATATGAAAAGATCCCATGACCTCTCTGCTAGTTTTAGTTTTACTAGATTTCTCACAATAGTTGGAAGTGGAGGTCAGTGCGTCAAGGTGTAATTTAGGAAAGGTGCTCACGCATCACAAGAGGCCTCTTGCATACTTCAATCAAATGATGTATCTAAGGTATTACCTCAAGTCTGAGTATAAAAAGGAACTAACGGTGATTGTCTTGACAATTCAAAAATAACATCATTATCTCTTGGGGCAACATTTCATGATTTATACAGATTTGTATACTCTAAAATTTATGTTAGAGCACTAGTGGACTCATTCGAAGTATCAACAATAAGCAGCCAACTTAATTAGTTATAAGGCAAGATTAGAGAGCCAAGCAACTTACACCTTTTCTCATATACTTAATGGGGAGGTAAGATATATTAGCTCATTTATTTTTTACATCCAACAAATTAGAGATGAAGTACAAATGAATATGCAACTGATCAAGATTTTTCATGAGGTGGAACATGGACCCTCAACACATTGACCTAACTACTCGAGAAGACAAACAATTATGCTTCAAATGAAGATTTTATAATACCAAATAATAGTATAAGGTCTTCTAAGTGACTTCTTCAACTATTGCCTATATTATAACATATTTGGGAGCACCTAACTATGGATTTTATCAAGTGACTATCAAAATCAGAGAGTTACAATGATATATTGTGGTCCAACCGCATCAATAAATATGCCCACTTCATAATTGTCTCACACCTTTATACAACTAAAGCCAACATGAGAGTCTTCATTTAAGAAGTTTGTCTACACAATGTACTGATCTGCATAGTGATGGATTGAGACAATATCTTCCCCAACAAAATTTAGATTTAACTCTTCAAACAATAGGGAACCCACTTCAAAATAAGTACAACTTACCACCCATAGATCAGTGGACAATCAAAGGTAATTAATTACTATTTGAAAATATATTTATAATGCTTTGCTACAAACATGCAACCCTAACTTGGTGATAATGGTTAGCATGAGTAGAATACTAGTTCAATACATCATTTTATTCTTCTATCAACACCACAATATTCAAAGTTGTATACGGACAAGATGCTCCCAACCTTATCAAGTTCAACTACCAAAAGACCCTAGTGGCTATTGTGGAGCAACAACTGAAAGAATGGGGCAAGATCCTCCAATAATTGAAGGATCATTTGGATGCAACCGAAGCACGAATGAGATCTCAAGCATTTTTGAAACACAAAGACATACAACTCTTCTTCAAGGATATGATCTTCCTCAAATTGTGACCACATAAGGTATGGTCATTAGTGTGTTGGCCCAATGAGAAGTCAATAATTAGTTACTTTTGCATGTATCCAATCAGAGCACAAGTTGACAAGCTGACATACCACTTGATTCTACTTGAGGCCTCACAAATGTACCCTATGTTTCATATGTCACAGCTTAAGAAGACATTATGTCTAACAGAATGTTCTCAACCACTGCCTCCCCTACTTGATGCAGATAATTAATATGTGAAGCCTCTTGCAGTGTTGGGAGTGTGGGCATCACCATGTGTACCTGAAGTCCTCTAGTGGGAAGATCTTCCAACCTTTGAAACTACCTAAGAACTTGCAGAGCTGATACGTCAACAATATCCAGACTTTCACCCTAAGGATAAGATAGATCATTAGGGGGGAGTATTGATAGGTCCTCAAGTAATAGCTATAATTTATAACGGTTGTTGCACATTTTGTAAGGGTTAAAAGGATCTCTTGATGATGGGCTAGGGCATTGTTCGAGAGAGCAGTGGTCTTCTCGAACGACCATCAACCCAACTATGTATGATTCTCTTCCTTCTTCTACTTCAATCGGATCTCTTCTCCATCATCTTCATTATCAGGTCGTAGTTCATAGAAGCCAGCTGAGACAGGTTCTGCCCACATGAAAGAAAAGAAGGAATATAAATAAATCAGCAGCTTCTTCATTCTCTGCAAACACAGACGACCTGCTTCCCGACGTTCTCGCCGGAGAACAGCCCGGCTAAGGTCGCCGGAGCGCTCTCGAGGCCCTGGTGCGTGTCCTCCATGTAGACGATCCTCTCTTCCTTGTAGAGGTCTCCAATGCGATCGAGGAACTGAGGGAACAGGTGGAGGTAATCGCTCTGAATGAAGCCCTCCATCCTTATTCTCTTCGGGATCAGCATGTACAGGTTGTGGATCCCTTCCTTGAAGGAGAGGCTGTGCTGAGATATCATCCCGCAGGCGGCGATCCTCCCGCGGATCCTCATGTTCAGAAGGGCGGCGTCGAGCGTGGCCCCGCCCACGTTGTCGAAGTAGATGTCGATCCCATCCGGGAAGTACCTGAAGATGGATGAACAGATGATGATAATGATGATGAAGAAGAAGAGGGAGAAGAAGATCAGGTGCCGCTGACCTTTTCATGGCGCCAGCTAGGTCCGGCTCCTCCTTGTAGTTGAAAGCATCGTCAAATCCGAACTTGTTCTTGAGAAGATCAACCTGAAAGAGAAGTCTCAATTCCCCACCGGAGGAAGTTCATCTCTGCAAATTCACATGAACTTTGGTTCACCTTTTGTTTGGTGCCGGCGCTCCCGACGACGTAGCAGCCGTGGAGCTTCGCTAGCTGGCCGACGAGCTGACCGACGGCTCCGCATGCTGCGGAGACAAAGACGCGCTCCCCTTTCTTCGGAGAGCAGACCTCATAGAAACCAGCGTAGGCTGTGAACCCCGGCATACGTGCATGATTGAGCTGCGATCTCAGATTGATCTGCTCAAGAACAGCGGAGAAAAATCAAACCATGTTCGTGAGGCAAGCAAGGGACGAAGGGTTAGACTGACCAAGAAGACCGAGATGATGAGAGAGAGGAATCTTCTCGTCTACTTGGATTTTTCTCAATCGATCCGTGCTCGTGATCAGAGTATACTCCTCCCAACCCGTAAGTCCCGAGACCAGATCCCCTGGTCTGAAACCTTCGTCATTTGTCTCCACAACTCTGGAAATCCCAAATCCTTCCACGACCTTCACAGGAGCAAGAACAGCAGGAACAGTAAACACATCACAACATCCACGGATCACACGAGATACGAATTCAAAAAAAAAAGGATGGAGAAAAAAGGGAGGCAAAACGGTAGGAAAAGTAAACATTCCAGAGCATCCATGAATGGGGTCTGAATTCCAGAAAATAGGGAGGCAAAACACCAGAGCAGAAATACCGATCACAAGCCGGGAAATCGGAACACAGAGATTGCCTAATCGTCCTTACCGATCCAGGAGTGAACGGGGGAATGTAAGAGTTGTAGAATTCCCTCATTCGGCTCCTCAAGAAGGGGTCGCAGGAGAGGTAGAGATTCTTGACGAGTACCCCTTTGAAACCCTCGGGGATCCGGAGCTCCGCCGTCCCCACTCTGAACTCCATATCCGTCTCCTTTGGCGCCGCCGTGATGAATCCTCGGAAGAGGACCTGCTTGTTCCGGACTGCCTCCATAGCCGACTGATCTTCTCCACGCAGGTGCCCACCGATGTTGCGAGCAGCTTCTCCTCGCTCTCCCTCCCACGCAGCTCTCATTAGAGGAGCAGAATAGAGGTGGTAGGTTGCGCATCGGGGAGAGAGAAAGAGAGTGAAAGAGACGGGAATTATCAGACGTTCGCCATACCAGACTCTGGAGGGAAGAGTCCTGTTCATGTTCGTCCATTACTGTGCATGTCCGTACTTCAATTCTTCGCATGGATTGTCAAAATGGGTTATCGCCTATCCGTACTAGCTTTTGCGTGGACTAGTCTTCCCCGGTGTCGTCACTACTAAATCCGTCCATCTGCACGCGTAGATTGTCTACGTCTTTAGAATGCATTTTCAAAATGAGTTCTCAGTAGAGTAGGTTCTCTCCCTCCCACAGTTCTCATTAGAATGGAGATGGTCGGTGGCCCCTTGTTGAGATAAAGAGAGAATCCCGTTTGACCAGTGATTAGAATGCATTTTCAAAAAATGGTTCGAATGCATTTCAAGTCACGATTTTGCGTTCACTACTATTGCCGCCACCTGTGGCCGCAGTTAGAGGCAACTGGGCGGAGACATCACGCCTGAAGCTGCGCCGTCCACGTGGCTACAGGAGGACTTGGCGGGCCTGTCACCAAAGGTGAGCTTAACGTCCTGCAGAAATATGTCCGTGCAACGACTGCTGCGGCTACAGTTGAAGTTGACCGCCACCGGCGTCGCCGACGATCCCCTGATGTCGTTGAACCTCACCTCGCTTATCCTCACCCCCGAATCCTGAAAGAAATATATTTTTCAAGGCATTTCTCCCACATAAACTGAAATAATGAGGTACAAGGGCCTACGAGTGTAGAGAAATTTGGAGGGGGATTATTTTATAATTTTACCTGCTTAGGACAGGAGACGGCGTGGGGACAGTAGTTCTGGTCAACGATGATGGGGTTCTGGACGTCCCACATGAGCACGTGCTGGAAGAAGACTCCCTTAACGAATCCGGTACTGGGCCGGGCCCACGACTTGATCCGAAGCCCGTTACTGCTCCCCGCGAACACCGCCCACGTCACCGTCACGTTCGTCACCCCTTCCTCCTCGTACGTCTTCCCCAAGCTCCCGATACTGCATAGACACTTTACACACGTGTGAAAAATCGGTAACGGACATTGCTCGCACGTTTGGCACCGTTACCGGGTTACCTGATGCCGTGACCCGGCCCGCAGGCGACTCGCTCGATGAAGAGGTCGGCCGTGCCGGGGCCGACGGAGACGCAGTCGTCGCCGGTGCGGATGGCGGCGCCGTAGATGGTGACGGCGGTGGACATCTGGACGTGGACGCCGTCGGTGTTGGGGCTGCTCGCCGGAGCGGCGATCTGCAGGCTCTGCAGCTTCACTCGCCGGCAGCCGTGGACGACGACATGGTAGAGCTCGCTGTCGACGGACTTCACGCCGGCGACCACCACGTCCTCCGAGTTGGACAGCGTCAGGCTCTGCGCGCCACCGGGGGTTCAGCGATGGCGGAGATCTCCGGCGAGGTGTGGCTGGCTTACCGTCGCGCCGGTGGGGCAGCTCCGGCGGGCCGCTTTGCAGGCCCACAGGGCGGCGCCGCTGCCGTCGAGCGTGCCGCCGGTGATCGATAGGCCGCGGACGCCGTCGAAGACGATCCACCGCTCGGGGATCGGGTCTACGGCGGCGGCGCCGCCGTGGGAGGCGGCGGCGCCGCCGTGGGAGGCGGCGGCGCCGCCGTGGGAGGCGGCGGCGCCGCCGTGGGAGGCGGCGGCGACGAGTGTGCCGTCGATCTTCACCGCCACGGGGCTCCGGCAGGGCCCCTTGAACGTGACCTTGCTGAGGAGGAACCTCCCCACGGGGACGTGAACGGCGGCCGGAAGGGGGGACCGGCAGGCAAGGTCCCAAGCCCGAAGCAGCGGCGGCGCCGAGTCGGCGGAGCCGTCCGCGGCGGCACCGAGTTCTACGACGTCGTAAACCGCCGCCGCCGGCGGGAGCTGGAAGAACTCCAGGAGGAGGAGGAGGAGGAAGAAGAAGGTCTGCTCTAACTTCTCCATAACTGCACCCTGTACATAACTGAGAAGGATTTCAGTCGCCCACGATGGAGGGTATTTATCGAACGGGAAGTTACGGGGACGATAGTCGGGTATTGTTCTTGGTGGGGTTGACTTCTGCTGCTTTCTTCTCCGCCGGAGGAGGAAGGTCGGATTAAACCGACTGGGTTCGGACCGATCCCACCGTGCGAAGGAGTTGACCAAAGCGTAACCCGCGTGTTTTACCGACCCAACTCGTCGGGTGTGGCCCTTTCCACGAGCATTGGTCTCCCCAAAAGGTGAGTTTCGGAAGTCGCGGGGGTTGAAGGTAGATGCGAGGTGCAGCCTCTCTCTCTCTCCCTCTCTCTCTCTCTCCTCCCTCCTCCACTGCTCTCTGTCTCTCTCCAACTCTCGACATCTCTCCGTCCCCCCTCTCTCTGTGGCTCATTCTCTCTCTATACCCCCATCCCTCCTCCCTCCTCCCCCCGGGACTCTGTCGCGCACTATCTATATCTCTGCATCTCCCTCTCTCTCCTCTCTCTCTCTCTCTCTCCCCTTTTCTCTCTCACACACTCTCTCTCTCTCTCCCTCCCTTTCTCTTTCACTATCTCCCTCTCTACATGCATAGTCTCTCCCACCACCCTATATCGCCCCACCCCCCCACTTTCGCGTCTCGTTTTATCGGGCTCCGTTCACCCAGTCTTGTGAGGCTCTCTACTTCTTCAAAGACTTTTGGCCCATTAAAGCAAAAGACCAACTGCAGATTGAATCGCTTCCAACCCAGAAGCGATTCCATGCCGTGTATTGCTCCGAAACCCGTTCTCAAATCACTTCCATTAATAGACCCTATTATCTACGTACCCAAACTATTAAACCCAATATATCTCGGCTGCGTTGGCCCATCCCAGTTGGTGGTCCCCCGCGATTCGACACTCTCCCAACTCCTCTGGAGGTCCCCAGTAGAGAGAGAGAGAGAGAGAGAGAGAGAGAGAGAGAGAGAGAGAGAGATCGGAAAATGGTCAAGGATGACAGCGCTGACTATGACTGTTGGACAGTCAAACACTCCGACGTACAGCCGCCTTTTTCTCCATCAGCTCGTGGTTCATGCTTCTAAATGAAAATTCTCTCAATGGGACATTACTCCCTCTCTCTCTATATATCATGGGTCCACGGTCAACGTCGGCGTGGGTTCATCAAGGGAAGGACAGACGTCGGCGCCAGCGGCCGAAAGGGATAGACGGCGTCTGTTCAGACGCCTCCGAAAGGCAAAGCGAGACCCAAACACTGAGGTGACAAGGCCAGAGGAAGGGGGGAAGGGGAGAGTCTGTACATGTGGTGAAACGGAGAGGACCCACTTAGTGGAGTTGGGAAATACGGCGCTGTGGATATGATCGGCGAGTGGCTCTGCCTTCATCTGCTTCCCCAGATTCCTCACAGTGCTCATCCGGCCATGAACGGCGGGAGATGTTGAGGGTTTCACGCAGAAAGGGAGGAATTTTGGGGGCGCCGGAGGAGTTGGGTTTTTTCGCCGGCGCAGAGGTATACTCCGTCTGTTCATCTCCAGAAACCGGGGGGTGTCCCCATCTGGTTATTTCTGGCCTCCTTCCTGCCCTTGGTTTTGAGTTCGCGAAGGTGGGCTCTCGTTTTCCCCTTCGAATCTGAGCGAGGCTGAAGATTCTTGCGGGAGGGAGTGGGAATGCGAGAGCCCTCTATTTTTTAGCGTAGATCTCCGTTGCTCGGTTGATGTCTGGAAGAAGCGCTTCATGCCTTGAGCCCTCCCCTCTCTAGTTCTTCTGGCCTCCTTGCGAAGGATCCCTGGGAAGCAGTTTGGGGATTTGAGCTCTGAAATAATTATCCATGAATCCCAGGTCTGATTAAAGACAAGAATTCCTGGGCTGCAACCGTTTCTTCTCCCCGATTCCGGTGCTTGCGATGGAGAAGCAGCAGAGCTTCCGTCTGATGGAGAAGCAGAAGAGCTTCCGGCCGAGGATGGTGATGGAGTCACAACGGAGTTTCCGGGTGAGAGCCATGAGAGGGCAACGGAGCTTCCAGGACAAGAGCAAAGGGAAGGACGGCGTGGGAAAACGCGGGGACTCCTCTCTCCATCTCGCTTCCAGGGCCGGGAACCTGCTCCAAGTCCAGCAGATCCTCTCACAGAGCGATAGAGACCATTTGAAGGGCCTGGTCTCTGCTCAGAACTGCGACGGAGAGACGCCATTGTATGTTGCAGCCGAGAATGGCCACTCCCAGATCGTTCATGAGATCTTGGGCCTCTCTGATGTTCACTCTGCGGCTCTCAAGGCTTGTAATGGCTTCGACTCATTTCATATCGCCGCTAAACAGGGCCATGTAGGTAAGTCTCACATCCCATCAGCATCACCATCATCATCATCATCATCATCATCATCATCATCATCATCATCATATTATTAGTGTTATTAATGCAATTATTGTTATTGTTCTTCGAGCCACTTTATCATCACCACTTAGAAATAAATGGGTTTCTTTTTTAGGACAGAAAAACGGTACCTTAGAAGGTTTTTTTCATTCTCCTGATGAGATCCAAGAGCTTCACTCTCATCCGGTGTGGACGAGTTTGACTACCCTTTTCGTCAAGAACTACTATTTATAATCTCAACTGCACTGAAGAGACGAGAAATCGGATCTTGCTGGTCCGTTCTGACTGAGAAAATCCAGGAAGACAACCAATCAGGCTATCCTCTTATAATCTAGGATTCTCTGTTGGATAGAAATCTTATGATTTGGATAGAGTAATTGTACAGAGGAGAGAGAAAAGGTGTGGTTGACTTGAGCTGGTTATGGCCATATCCTAAAATCTCTGATAAAAAACGCTTCTGAGCTTTGACTCACTTCTAATCTCTGATGAAAGTTTCATAATTTGGATGAAGCAGACATGAGTTTAAGGTTTAGGGTTAGAGTTTAGGGTTCTGGATTATGTCATACTCTTCTTCATCTCAACTCGTTTGCTTCTTTAATTTTACAGGTGTGTTGAAAATGCTGCTATCATTCTCCTCTGAGCTAGCTATGACTGTGGGCCCGTCAAATGTGACACCTCTGTACAGTGCCGCGGCCCAAGGCCACTCAGACGTGGTCAACCTTCTGCTGGAATCCAATGCTAGCCTGGCGAAGATTGCTCGGAACAATGGAAAGACCGCCCTCCACGCCGCGGCTCGAAACGGCCACGTGGACATTGTCACGTCGCTATTAAGGAGCGACCCCCACATTAGCCTGGAGGTTGACAAGAAGGGGCAGACGGCATTCCACGTGGCGGTGAAAGGGCAGAATGTGGCGATGATCGTGGAGCTGCTGAAGGCCGACCCTTCAGTCGTCAATGTGAAGGACTTAAAGGGTAACACGCCCCTGCACATTGCAGCCAGGAAGGCGCATCCTCTGGTAAGCCCATTCTTCTTCTTCTTCTTCTTTCCTCATGGAAATAGGGAAATTTCTGTGATAATTAATATTTCCTCTTAACTCCGGAGTGATGATTCTACAAAACCAAGGTTTTTCTTGCTGTTCTCCTCTGACTAAATCTGCTTCACTCGATTGCAGATTGTCAAAACTCTGACGGAAGTGGAGGGCGTTGAGGTCAACGCCTTCAACAGGGCCAGGGAGACCCCGCTCGACATCTTGGAGAAGAACAGCAACGAAGAGCTCGCCAGCGTCCTCCGCGACGCCGGCGGCGCTGCGGCGCGAGACCTCGCCGTTCCGCCGAGCCCCGCGAAGCAGCTGAAGCAGACCGTCAGCGACATAAAACACGACGTCCAGTCCCAGCTGCAGCAGACCCGCAAGACCGGCATCCGCGTTCAGAAGATCAAGAAAAGATTGAAGAAGCTCCACGTTGAGGGCCTCAACAATGCGATCAACTCCAACACGATCGTCGCCGTCCTCATCGCCACCGTCGCGTTCGCCGCCATCTTCACCGTCCCCGGCGAGTACGTGGAGAAGGAGACCAGCGGCCACTCCCTCGGGGAGGCCTTTATAGCCAACAAATCCGAGTTCATCATCTTCTTCGTGGCAGACTCGCTGGCCCTCTTCATCTCCCTGGCCGTGGTCGTCGTCCAGACCTCCATCATCGTCACCGAGCAGAGGGCGAAGAAGCACATGGTCTCCATCATCAACAAGCTCATGTGGCTCGCCTGCCTCTTCATCTCCGTGGCCTTCGTCTCCCTCACCTACGTCGTGGTCGGCCGCCGGAGCTCCTGGCTGGCCTGGCTGACCACCGCCATGGGTGCCACCATCATGCTCACCACCATCGGCTCCATGTGCTACTGCATCATTCGCCACCGGGTGGAGCAGAAGAACCTCAGGAATCTGCGCAGAAGCTCCGTCAGCCAATCTCGCACCTGGTCTGCGGCGGTGGAGTCGGATTCCGAGCTCCACAAGAGAATCTACGCACTGTGAATCTTATCCACAGCAGGAATTCCCGCAGAATGGGAAGATATTTAACGACCCATTCGGATTACGCTGGCATAATGCGCTGTATATTCGTTCATTCATCTGATGATAGAGTTGACTTCCCTCTGAAGGCATGCTGCAGCGAGGTATTAGAACAGAGGGGCCCACGTGGGCTTTTTTTATATTTTTAAATATATATACCGAATTTGGGTCTCAAACTCGAGCCTCCTCCTTCCGTTCGGGTTTTCGAAAATCGGCGTTTTTTGAGAATCCGATTGTGGATCGCCGAAGCAAACACTCCAACTCTGTGCACACGTGCGCCACGAGGATGCACGCGTGAAGCTTTTTGGGCCATTTTGGTTTGGCCCAGTGGGTTTAGCCCATCAAAAAGAGTGCAATAAATATCGGTTGCCGGTTTGGCGCCATCTCGTTCAGACAAGAATTTCCGGTGAGTCTGGTGGTCCGACGGATTAATATGTTACTCACCGTCGCCGTTTCTCGCTCTCATCCTTTTTGGATTGTACGGCTGAGATTCCGAGACTTCAGCCCCTACAAGCGGTCCATTTCTGGTCCTGCGGTCCACAGAGCCAAAAAGTCCTCGCTTTTTAATTTCCCTCTCTCTCTTTCTCTTTCTGTGTTTCTCACTCTGCCTTCCGAAAAAGCAAAGAATAGACAGCGGTTTCTCTCTCTCTCTCTCTTGATCGCGCCGGCCAGCAGCTTCTCGGACTTCCCGGCATCACCCTGAGCACCGCACGGGATCTTACTCTGGGGAAAATTGATATTTCTTCCCCCATATATGCTTCACATCTGATCTCTGCGACGAGAATTGGACGCTGCTTTATCTTTTCAATATCTTCGAGCTCGGGGACGCGCCGGAGGGCCGGTGAGTTCATGGGTCTTTCGTTGCCTTCATGCAGTTTCTAGTGATCGATCTCATGCATGTACCATTGATGATTGGGTTCAAGATTACCCTGTTGGTGAAGGGCTAGGGGCTTCGACTTGTCATTACTGGCTTGGGGAAGTGCTGACGGGTGGTGGTGGGGGTGGAGGTCGCTGTCTAGGGTTTGTGGGTTTTGTAGATTCTCTGTTTAATTTTCTGTCTTTTTTTCTTAGTTCCACAGATAACACAGATGGCTGGCTTACAGCTTCTATAATGGGTCATTTTATCCTCGAAAGCCAGTTGTTTCAATCTAGTTTTTTGCTTGATGTAATGGAGGAAGTAAAGTGAAGATGAATAAGGGATTCATACCCCATGATTACCTACTATAGAAATAAAATGAATTCTCCGCATTGATGAGCAAACTTTATCTGTATAATTTCTCGTGGAGGTTAATCTGGTTATTCAACTTCGAATGTATTATCTCGTCCGAGGAGATATTTGGTGTTGATATTTACTTAATCAGGTCATTCATGATTGAAGAATCAGGGGAACTATCCGCAGATTTTTTTCTTTCCAGAGATATTTTATCTTCGAAAAAAATGCAGGATAGCAAATGTGGGATTATTTTCTACTCATTGCCTCGTGTTCTTCTTTACCTTCTATAAGTAGATGCAGGATAGAAGAAAAGCACCCACTGGATTAAACTTCGTCAAAAGAATCCTATTTTTTGTCTGCTTTTGTGGGGAGTTTGTGAGTAAAAAGTTGACTTTTTTTTTTTTCCAGTGCTCCTCATCCAATGGATGATATCCAGTCAGCTACCCCACATGTTGACTCTACTCCTGCGAAGATTCAGAAGCTCCAGCAAGCATTTTCTGAGCTTGAGATCCACAGGGGCATAACTCTCAACCTAAAATGGAAAGAGCTTGAGGAACATTTCCATTGGTTCGAGAGGTCTTTGAAGGAGAGATTTGGTGAATTGGAAGATCAGAAAAGGGCGTTTGAGAGGAAGGCTTCAGAGGCCCGGGATATGCTGGAGAAGAAGGAAGCCATGGTTTTGGCGAAGGAAAAAGCATCACTGGAGCGATTGCAGGAAAGGAGAGATGCCGCCTTTTCTGCTTTGGGAGCCGCAGTTGAGAACTGTAAGGATCCTTCCTCACTGCCCACAGCTGATGGTTCAAGTGAGATGAATCTCGCTGCTTTATTCGATGAGGAGACCCATTCAGAGGTGGGCAAAGTCAACCCAGTTAGTTCCCCACTGATGAAATTATGTCAAGAGATGAATGCTGAAGGACTCCTTGGATACATCTCAGAGAATCGTAAGAATCTTGCGACTATCCGGGAAGAAATCCCTGCTGCGCTGAGGAGCTCTTCCAGCCCTTTTACGTTGGTTCTGGGCTCGTTGAAAGGTTTCTACAGGCTGGACATGAGGGCACCGGAGGGTAAGAAGGATGCGAACCTGCTAGGTATTCGAAGAACGTGCCTCATGTTGATGGAATCTCTCAGCCAGCTTCTGGGAGAATCGAACCCCACTCCAGAAAACCTGACAATCACTTCGGATATCAAAGAACAAGCAAGAACAATCGCTGGGGAGTGGAGGCCTAGACTGAATGAACTTGACGTAGATGCCAGAAGTGGAAATTCCTTGGAAGTTCACGCTTTTCTGCAACTTTTGGCCACTTTTCGTATTGCTCGTGAGTTTGACCAGGATGATATATGCAACCTCATCACATCTGTCTCTCGCCGTCGTCAGATAGCTGAGCTGTGTCATTCGCTCGGGCTTACCCACAGAATGCCAGGTTCACCTTTCCTTAACTTTATGCGTCGCTGTCTCCGTGTGTTCTTCACGTTCTTAAATTTATTGATGATTTTGGAAGCAGAAATTAGAAAATCAGCGCATATTTTATCTGGGTTTGCTAAGTTTTCTCGCCTAATAAAGGAATAATGGAGATGGACAAGGGATCCTGTCCACTACTTGATCGGGGAAGCACGAGAGTGAGTCGCCATGCCCAGCATTCCACGCTGTTCTTTCCAGGGTCGTCTAAACTTTTGCTTGACTTTTCTATACACACACAGAAAGTCAACCTTTGAAATCGTTGACCTTGGCCCATCAAAATTTGCCTTCCAAAAAAAAAAAAAAAGGTCTTTCTGTGGAGACTCGCTTGTCATAACGTGTTTCATAATCCTCATTTGGACCATCCATGCTCGTGAGTCTGACATCTACCTGCTCATGCAGAGTACCTAGCTTTTTCTTCTTCTAGTTATTATTCATATTAGTGATCAGTGGGATGCTATAATCACGCTCATCTGGCTGATTTGGGTTGTCCAGGTGTGATTGGAACGCTGTTGAGCGGCGGAAGGCACATCGAGGCCATAAATCTGGCCTTTGCCTTCGACCTCACGGAGCAATTTCCTCCTGTTCCGCTGCTCAAAGCCTTCTTGAAAGAGGCGAGGGCGTCACCGGCCAAATCTGGAAACCCATCTTCTGGGCCCCACGTATGACCTCCTCCCCTTTCTCTGTTGTCAGTCTGTTCCTCGCTTCATGAACGATTCTGGCTTCCCCTTCAGAATGAGCCTGACGAGAGGGAGCTCTCTGCCCTCAAGGCTGCCATCAAGTGCATCGAAGAGCACAAGCTCCAGGGTCAGCTCCCCGTTGACCCCCTCCAGAGGCGGCTCCTACAGTTTGGGAAAGACAAGGCCGACGTGAAGAGGGCGGCTGAAGCGGCCAGACCACTGCCGAAGAGGCCCCGGGCTAATGCCACCCATCATCCTCCCCATGCGGTCAACGCTCTTGAGAAGAGCTTCTTCTACAGAGGAGCTGAGAGGTACCCATACGCCCATGAAAGGCAGCATTTTCAGCTGCAGGAAGCCCATGGCTCGCCTCTGCTGGGAGCTGCTGCCTATGGCCTCTCTCCCAGCCGCAGCAGCTACCACAGCGGCTACTATGGCAATGGTTGCCATCCCTTCAATGCCCAGTACATACACTGATGGAGAAGCTCGCTGACCATTCCGATTTGACCGTTTTAGGGCTTTTTTATATATATACCCTTGTGGAATTTATTTTTATTAATCAGTTCTTCTGTTTTATGTGATGGTCTGCGTTATGTTGTAGCTGTACTTGGTGGGCTAGGCCCAGCTGTGATGTTAATGGGCCTTGGAGGGGGCCTGAGAGGTGGATTTTCTGAAGCCCATTAGGCCCAAACTGTCCCCAATTACTATCAGATCCATTCTGTCTGGAGAGCATGTTCAGATCCGGATTATCCATCACGTGGCAAGTAGGGCCCACAAGATACTATCATCCTCCCTCGTTGGTGTTCTCTCACCCCGCCAGCTACGCTACTCACCACCCCCCTCGGAGTCGAATGCCAGATAACTCGTTCAGAAGAATACGGGTGTGGATGAGATCAGACGGGGTAAGGATAACATCGTAAGGTGTTCCCGGGGGAATAGCGCATTATCCTGTATTAAATAGAAAAGCTTCCTCTTTGCATGCTTAGTAGTGGCTATGAACTAGAATAAGATATGGAACAGACAGTTCCGTCATCTTCTCTGACAGTCTGTCTGACTCTCTCTCTCTCTCTCTCTCTCTGTTTGTCTCTTTCTCTCTTCCTGTGATTCCTTATCGCCTGCCAGTACGAGATCGATCTCCAGAATCTTTTCATTCTGTCAATGGTTAATAAGAGGAGTATACACGGGAGGTCGTCCCTCTGGGGGCATTTATCTCTGCTGCGACAGTCGTGCACACTCCATCCTTACCTCGCGCCTTAGGGTTCACCGGCATTGTTAATTTCTCGGGATCTCCGACGTGCATGGCTGCGCTGTGAGCTTCCGGAGGCTTCGTTCACTCTCCCTCTCCCCTCCTTCTGTCTCTTTCTTCTGGTTTTTCAGGGTGCGGCTTCGCTGCGATTCCAAACTGATGCTTGTCCGACCACCCACATTTCGAAGTCCACAATAAGTTGAATCGAGATTTCTTCCGGCATTGAGAGGCTACTATGGAATGAGTCTCTCTTAGGACTATCTTCTCTTCCCCTTCTCCAAAGGTTGAATTGAATAATTACAGAAATGTCATTCCACCTGTGTGCTGGGACTGGACCTGGTCTCCTCCTGCGTCTTTTTCTCGTGTTTGCTACAGTCTCTGTTGTGGTTGATGGGATGAATTTATGGCCGATGCCAAAGTCTGTAAACTATGGATCACAGACTCTGTATTTGAGCAAGGACTTCAAGCTACGCACGGAGGGAAGTAACTATGCAGATGGCCTGGGGATTTTGCAAGATGGCTTCTCGAGGATGGTCGATATAGTTGTTGCTTCCCGTGCTATCGGTCCCAATGTGACCAATTCTCATGTGTTGGCGGGGATTGCTGTGGAGATCTCGTCATCAGATGACTCGGTAATTCTGTTTCTCTGGAACTCTAGAAATATCTCGATGTCCTTAAAGTCGATGTGCTATTTAATCACAGAAGAGTCTTAATCTCAATATAAAGAGAGTCGATGTGCCTTTTTCCCTTCGCCATTAAAAAAATTTGAGGAAAATATCTCCGTGCTATTTAATGCAATGTTTAATATTTGATCCTATTAATTAATTTTTTTATAAAAAAAAACTACATGATTTGAATATAAAATGGCGACCAAAGGCTTCTTTTGATTATGTGGATAAATCAGAAAATGGCAATGTTTTTTGCATTTTCCAATGATTAGTAGTTTCTGTTGTAATATGTATGTATTCTCCTTTTATAATATTCTTAGATAATTCCCAGGTTTAATCACGATTTATTGAAGGGTCTGAGTTTTTTGTGCAGTTGAATTTTGGCATTGACGAATCCTATAAGCTATTCATTCCTTCAACAGGATATCCACTTTTTGGGCGTATTGAGGTTGGTACTTAACGACTGAAGATTATTCAGTACGACAGAGTTTTGGTTTGTATGGTAGTTTGGCGAGATCTCTGTTTCTACGGAGATCACCTTTGAGTTTGATTTTTCTATCATTAGTTGATGGATGCTAAGGGAAAGAGGCAATATTGCAAAAAAAAATCCATCGTAATGACTGAATACTATGACAAGTTAATGGTGGCTATTTTGGTCATTACATACGTTCTACAGTCACGTTTGAAGTTAATAACTTTTCTTTTTCTTATCTCTATAATGGAACAAAAAATGCAGGCAAAAACCGTGTATGGGGCCCTCCATGGTTTCCAGGTAATGACCAATTGGCCATGCGCGTGGATTAACATTACTTTTTATACAAAAGTCCATCAAAAATTTAATATTATCGTTTTTCATCTGTCAGACATTTAGTCAACTATGCCATTTTAATTTTACAACTAGAAATATTGAGCTCCATCTTGCTCCATGGATTATCGATGATCAGCCAAGGTTCCTCTATCGAGGTCTCCTAATTGGTGAGATAACTTCTCTGTTATTCTGCTGTGAATTAAATGCCTTATAGCTTGTGTGTTCTCTTAAGGCTTAAAAAATTGTTCCTCCTAGTCTCAGACAGTGTTCGCCGAATTGACAATCATTTTGGCCTTGTATTTTTCATTTATTTACTTTTCTAAAATATATTATTCTGGATGAGCTTTTTTGAAATTTGTATTGGGAACCCAGTACCATTTAGGAATTGTTTACAACTTATATCCACATTTTGATGATTAAAAAAATGCTCAATATGTTTATTTTTTAATGTGGCTAGTAGTTGGTAATTTTTTTAAGTTTATGATGGTATAAAACTGTATGATACTATCACGGTGATTAGATCACTTCAGTTCCCATGTGTTAGCATTTTTCCTTTTGAGAGTAGATCAGGCATGTTTAAATCGCCTTGAAAATAGACGCTGGAACCACATGCCATTCAGATAACTCAATCCCTGGAACCATTATCCAAATAAAAATCTATGTAAAAAGACTCTCTTTGTGGACTAGAGACTCCTTTTGCACCAAAGTGTTGATACTCTGGTCGTGAGGACAAAGAAGCAACACGCTGATATGGATGAGATCATGAACATTGATTTACAGTCGTCGGTGTATAATCATTTGTTTATGACCAACAAGATTTGCATTGTCCATCTGTAGAGATGCTCAGTTTCTTCTTGTCGGTAGTCAGCCTTGAAGGTTGTAGAAATGACATGGAAATCTTCGACACTTGGTCACAATATCGCGAAGTCTGAAGATTAAATGATCAAACATTCTTATTTACCAAAAAACTGTTCTCTGTATTATAATAACCTCGATTTAATGACGTGAAACAATTTTTTGTGTTCTTCTGGACGTAAAAACCTCAATTTATTTTAATGAGTTACAATTAAAATCTCGTTTCGTGCAGATACTGCGAGGCATTATCAAACACTGACTGTAATGAAGAATGTTATTGATGCTATGGCCTACACGAAATTGGTAAACTGCTATTTCATCTCTTCGGTTTATATTGCATTTTATTTTACTTCTGACCTGGACAGTGAATCTTTTGGTTATCATAGTGCATCCTTCACTCTTAGATTAGTCGTATAGTAAACTGAATTATGAAGTAAATTATGATGATGTTCTCCATTGTAGTTCCTTTTCTTGTTAATTTATGATTATTTTAATAATTTTGACCTTTTCTTGTTGATAAGAAGTTTCATTTAACAATATCTCTTTAAAATATTCTAATTATTTTGAATTCCTATGCAGAATGTTCTTCATTGGCATATTGTAGATACACAATCATTCCCCTTAGAAATACCCTCTTATCCAAAACTGTGGAATGGTGCTTACTCTTACTCAGAGAGATACACAATGGCTGAGGCAGCTGAAATTGTACTGTAAGCTTCACTTTACCCAGGAATTTACTTTTGGTTGAATTTACTCTCACATACACCCCCTTGATGATATGTGAAACTTGCCTTTGATTGGATCATTATATTTTCTATTTTTTTAAGTTTTTTAATATAACGTTCGATCAACGTACATAAACATGATCTACATTGATTATGGGACTAAAGAATAGATTATATGTTGAAACGATATATTATATCTCGTCAATAATGCCATGATATGCATGTATTGACCATTCTTTGTTTATGCCATTCTAAGAAAGTGAACATGGATTTTGCAGTTATGCTCAGAAACGGGGTATCAATGTTTTGGCTGAGATTGATGTACCAGGTCATGCGTTCTCGTGGTAATTTGGTGGATGTTTTTTTTTTCTAAAGTTGATTTATAGGAATCAGTAACTTCTGGAAACTATTATTAAGTTACTAAGTTCATCAGACTGGTTATTAGTCGGCTAATGTAATAATATACAGTTTTTGGCTTATTTATGACGTAGATTTCATAAAATCGTGTACAAAATCATTTTTTTCATTATGCTTGGAAGTTTACAGATTAAATGTTTCCTTAATATGATCTTCCTTTCCTTTCCTCCATCCATCGTGCCTCACGAAAGTTTGGCCATTAAGTAGCTTTAGGTGTTGTTGGAATCCACTTGCCAAAACCAGTGACAGGAAAGCATAACTTTTTGTTAGAATCATAATCTCAGCCGACATCTTAGCCTGTGGGTAGCTGTTTAACTAGGATTAACTTGATGTCGGATGATCAAGTTGCGCATATCTTTTTTGGAGAGAAGATTTGGTGTCATGTTCAAAAGTTTCAACCATTGAGTCCGTGGTATCCTGCCTTGAACTTCTTATTTAGATCAGATCAGCGACTTCTGACTAAGGCTTGATATCCTACGGATACTTGGACTCAAACAGTCTATTGTGGGTCAGAATTGAGGAAGAGGAAACGGAGAAAAAGAAGCAGGTAAACGGGGAAGAGGAAGAGTTGAGGAGAAGGGGAAGATAAGATTAGAAGAAGGTAGAAGTGGAAAAGATAGTCACCTCTTCCACCAGCCGCTACCCTAGTGACCACTGACGACTGCTGAACAACCTCTCGTCCCTTTTTGTTTTCCCTTGACTTTTATCATTCATATATTGAAAATAAAGGACAAATCACGGAGGGGAGGGCAGAATGGAAGTGGTGGAAGTGGTTTTTTGTTATGAAATTCATTTATCATATTATAAAAATATTTGCAACATACTAAAAATACCGAATTTATTGTTCATTTTTAGATCATCCCATCTGATTTATATTGGCATTTGCCTGGGAGACCTTGGTATGTGCTTGAACCAAGTTTGAATTGATTGGCTGCCTTGTCATCATATCTAAGTGAAGATTCAGAGATCTAGCAGTCCAAAATCTCAATCCTTTACCTTGACTTGCCGTCAAAATAATTATTTCTGTGTAAATCCCATGTCCAGAAAAGTATTCAGATATTCGTGTATCAATTCAACAAGAAATGAATCACATCATTTTATGGGTTACCGCATGGTTTTTGAAAATTAGTTAGAAAAATGAAAATTGTGCATTTTCTTCCTTTTAATTTCCTCAAATAGATTTAAAATTATATTTTCAGGGGTACCGGGTATCCTTCTCTGTGGCCATCGTCAGATTGTCAGCAGCCGCTCGATGTCAGTAATGAATTTACATTCAAAGTAATAGATGGAATTCTTTCAGGTGATGCTGGTGTTACTCTTTTGTTCTTCTTCATACGTTGTGAAATGAACGCGCTGAGCCACTTATTCAAATGGTTTACCCACAAACCTTGCGAAAAATAAAAAAATTGGTCTCATGGAAGGCCATTGTCTTGCACAAGTCGTCGACGGGACGAAAAAATAATCAATCTTTCACCAGCATCAAAATTTTCCTTCTTTTCTTTTAGTAGTAGGTTTTTCATCAGCGTTCTCTTTAGAACTTGAGAGTACAACCCGCCCGATTAAACTCTGTTACACCGGAACAGTGTGTACTGTTGTTCTTGTTGTTATTCGTCAATCAGTTTATTTTCTTGGCTACTGAATGCAAAGTTGCATCTGTAACGTTCCTTGTCTTTCAGATTTTAGCAAGGTCTTCAAGTTCAAATTTGTTCACTTGGGAGGTGACGAGGTTGACACAAGTAAGTCTGGGCCGCATAACCCATCATCTTTATTTATTTATGAGTGCTTTGCCATTTCTCTTTATGATGCAATCTCACTAGAAAATTCATCATGCAGATGAAAAATATTTCTATGGTTCAATAAAATAAACATAAAAAACATCTAAATATAGTTGCGTTCTTTCTCAGGATGCTGGATGACGACTCCTCACGTGAAGAAATGGTAAGATCCTCCGAGAGTACTACTACTGCTCTCCGTAGCTTACTCTTTCTGATGTCTTCAGAGAAAACGATGCTATCTTATGATATTTTATCTCGATCCTTCAAAGCATATCTCGAATGATTCACTAGGTAGACTTGGTGAGGGAAGGCATTATGTTCTTCTGTTCCAAGAACAAGTGCATAACTGGCACCGCCTGCAAAATCCTGCTACTCGGATTTTCAAGTTGTATCTCAGATACCCATCTTTTTCTATGGGCAGGTTGGATAAACATGGCATGAATGAATCCAAAGCCTACGAGTACTTCGTCTTGAGAGCCCAGAATATCGCACTGTCCCATGGTTATGAGATCGTCAACTGGTGATAGTCCTACACCTCTGGCTTCATTGTTCCTTCTGCTTCTCTTACACCTCCTCTTGCTTTCTCTTTCTCGTTGGTCAGGGAAGAAACCTTCAACAATTTCGGCAACATGTTGAGCCCAAAAACCGTCGTACACAACTGGTACTCCCCCTTCTCTTACAATCTCGTCTGTTCCTTCTCAAGAACTTCATTCACTGCCAGAAAATACAGGTACCATGCAGTATGCTATATGCTTTAAATGGGGCATCTATATAGCCCATAATTAGTAAATATCTGGGCGATGGAGGGGGAACAGGAGACTTAAACCTCTCAAAATAGAAACAATCGCTTGGGTTTGTACTCGAATGGGTACTTTCACTTCTGCGCATAGCTGGACAGTAAGAACGCGTGATGGGCAGCAGTCAACTGTTTCTGCTGAAAGGGTTTCTTCGAATTGCTAGGCTGGACGTCGGCGTGGCTCCAAGAGTGGTCGCTGCCGGGCTGAGGTGCATCGTCAGCGATCAGAACAACTGGTACTTGGACCACTTGTCTACCACGTGGCAGCAGTTCTACATGAACGAGCCTCTCACAAACATCACCAACCACGAACATCAGAAACTGGTCATTGGTGGCGAAGTGTGCATGTGGGGGGAGACCGTTGACGGATCAGACATTGAGCAAACCATCTGGCCGCGTGCTGCTGCTGCTGCAGGTACTTCATTCGATACACAACATTTACCCAGCATGACTGTTGATCACTCGGGTTCTTTCTTCCTTTTTCTTGGTGTTTTTGGTATAAAATTTGGTTGAAAGAATTGCTGGCCCTCAAGAACCCATCCTTTAATCTCGGAGATCCCTTCCTGCTGTGATGACTTTGTGAAATAATGTTACTTCCGTTGACTAAATATCATGCTGACCATAAATCACTCGGTTCTTTCTTTCTTTTTTCGTCGGACTTTTCGGTATTAAATTTGGTCAGAACAATCGCAGGTCCTTAAGATTCAATCTTAATCTTGCAAGCTTCCTTCCTGCTGTAGTGTTTATTTTTTAGAATAATCTCCCATGAAATTATAGAAAAACCCATTTGATCTTGTTTGAGACTGATTGTATCACACGTGCCGAGGACCTGGAAGTCAAACTCTTTCATGAACACGTCTGTTACAACAAAATGGTGTTTAGTGAGAGAAGTCCAATCTTGCGGTCAAATGCGGATCCATTCTCTGCTGCTCATCGCTGATTGATTTTTGAGTTGGATTGACCCCATTTTTCTCACGGCGTGACTTTGGCTTCTTCCCTTCCTGAAGAGCGGCTGTGGACCCCATTTGACAAGCTGGCAAGGGAACCACGGCAAGTAACGAGCCGCCTAGCCCACTTCCGGTGCTTGCTGAACCAGAGGGGAGTCGCAGCCGGACCCATCACCGGCGGCGGCCGGGCCGCCCCCGAAGAACCGGGGTCCTGCTACAAGCAGTGATCCTCGTCGAAAGTCAAACTGTTCTTTTCCTAAATTTGCACGTTTTCATTTATGTGGCCGATGGAAAAACTCAACGGTATCGGAGATGGAAACTTATATAATTTATATCGGGAGGTCAATGTGGAGACTATGCGACTTATATCAGAAGCTCACCTGTGTAACTTCACATCCAGAAGTCAACGATAATCTCCGCCGATGGAAAGGTCACCCGGATGTGAGCAGGAATCTTGCCAATACATGAGCCGGAAGTCGTTGGCAATTTTATGATTTATATCATGAAAGCGTGCCTCTATAGTTTATATTAATAAGTCAACGGCAATCTCCGTCGGCGGAGATTTCTAGATTCTTTCTCATGCTTGCCGAGCCTTTTACAAGTGGGAGGGTGGCCGTGGACAAAAAGAGGTGGGAGAGCGCCGTCAGATAACCCACACACACTTCAAAGATTGAGTCCGAATGTCGGGAAGCGCCGCCGCCGACCACGGCACGTGATCCGGTCAGGAGGAGGGAGTCTTCTTCCCCCGGCCCATGCCGAAGCCCCTCGTTCCGTCCGGCATGCGGGGGCCCACCGGCTGTTTGGCGGCGCCGGGCAGCAGCTCCCCCGCCGGCGCCGGCAGATGACTAGCGGCCCCACCGGTGTTGGGTTGACCGCGGCCGCCGCGGCCTCGGAAGCCTCGGCCCCTACCGCGGCCCCGCCTTCCTCCGCCGGCATCCCTCTCGTGGTACCCGTCGTCACCCTGATGAGAAGCCACTCAAAGCTCAAGCAGACGGGAGGGTGAAAGGAAGAGGAGAGACGAGCATATACGGCGTAGAAACCCTAGAAAAGAACAGTTTAAGGGGGCAGATGGACGGGAAGAAGTAGGATTTCTAGGGTTCTACGGCGCCGCCAGGCCTTCCATGTGAAGAAATGAGTAGAGAAATTCAGGGGGGGGAGGAGTTAGAAGCCCTCACCATGTGTTCATGAGATGCTTCGCCCGACTGCGAGGGATCCTCAAAATGCCTGTCATGGTGCTGCTGGTTGGACGTGGAGGTGTCCTCATCTTCACCCACTCCTTCGCCCTCGTTCCCGCCTTTCCTCGCTCGATTCAGGCCGTACTTCGTCTGAAGGTTTGAGTATGGGATGGCAGGGGTCATTCGGGAAAGAGGTAAAAAGCATCAAATTTTTGTTCCCATTTTAAGCAACTTCGTTTTCAGACAGACAAAAAAAAAAAAAAAAAAAAAAAAAGAACGAAAGAAGGGAACCCATGTACCCCAGCAACCTTTCACAAAAAATATAATAATGGAAAATTAATTTCCTGCAAAAAAATTCCTCTTTGAAGAGCTTGTGTGTTTATCTTGGTTGAGAAGGGGAGGAGAGGGGGGTGGCATGCATTTTGGTCGAGCAAGATGAAGATAGTACCATGCATCTGGGGAGTAGACGAAGTCTGAGTCCGCTTCTCCAGTTCTTCTCGTCATTCAGCTCAGCAACCTGGTCGTCTCAAGGGTTAGACTGATCCCCAGCAGGCACAATGAATCTCGGGACACAGATTATACACAAATCAGAAGCTTACAGCTTTTTCAGCTTCCTCGAAGGTCCCGTATTCCACAAATGCATGCAACTGCAATGAAAAAAAATGGTTACCAATATACTTGTGGAGAAAACTCGTATTACATAAATGGAAATTGCATCGATATAAATAATCTGCGTTAAACTACATATAAAATTCGAATAAGAAGCTCCAAGTTACACATAAAATTCGAATAAGAAGCTCCATGCAGATTTCATTTAGTACAAAAAAAAAAGACGAGAAAAAAACAAGAGCATGACATAAAATCAGATAGAAGCTTGAGGGTTCTTTTGTCAAGTTTCCAATCTGTATCTTGTATTCTTTTTGTTACAGAAAAAAAAAAAAATACACCTAGCAAACCCTAATCTACGTTTATACTTGAATGGCTGACATTTGACATAATATATCAGTCGTATTGCACCGTTGAAGTGTTTAGATGATGAATGAATTGACCTTTTTTTGGGATTACATGTATATGCTTCAATATTTTTTAAAAGACCCTATCAAATTCAAAACTCAGAATGACCACCTGGTTCGTACTTGATGCAGCTTGATTGATCAATCCTTAAAGAAAAAGGGACCAAAATATGGGAATGCATTTAGAACGCGTGTAATTACGATAGTAGTGTTTTAGCACATCTCTTACAGCATTTTAATGTATTTTTACACGATACCCAAAAGGATTAAGACAAGTAACGCATGCAACTTGTATCCCCAATTTGGAAAATGAAAATTGGAATTTGTGTCAGATGGGATTATTACTGTCTATTCCATGCATTGTGTTTGCCCTGAAAAAGGTAAATGATATCTTGGAATGCCGAGATAATATAGACTTGAAAGACTAATACTTTCTAGTTTCTTCGTAGGTTCCAATGCTCCTTTCCAGCTTGAGTACAAAGGTCCGGTAAACACAGTTTACAGGATTTTTTTCTTATAAAACGCACTCTCCTGTAGACATCCAGTGAAGTATGAATTCACCTCGAGTTGACATTGAATTGCTAGTCAAGAACCGCAAACATCATTTGTTGTGGTTATTGAAAAAACTTGTCAAAAGGGTACGTTTTTACATCATGGGAAGAAGTACCTTATCACCACATAATCCAACAATATAATCTTTTTCAAATTTAATATTGAAACACTCAGTTTCGTGCGCATGGCAAGTCATAAATGGCATGGGAATCAGAAAAACCTGTAGAACCAAACTTGTAATTCTCAGCTGCATCAGTTCTAATCTGCTGAGTACCAATCTCCAGGCTCAGGCTCTGACACACAGTATGCTACGGTAACATTGTATTTATCTTTCCTCATCAGGGAGAAATTTACTGCCTGATCATGCAAATACATTAATAATCATGTTTCTCATTTGATACGCTCATAAACCCACGTCAGAATCTAAATTGAAAGGAATCTTTCCGAAGTTAACTGGTTCAATGCATTCGGAATCTCTCATCCATCAAGTTGAAATGATTAAAAAAAATTAAAACAGTAGAAAAACTACCTTGTTTCCAAGAAACATGTCCATCTTGCCAGGCTTAGAAATTGCAGACGCCCCGCCATTAGTAGTCTGTGGATAGCAGGTGCGGATTGTCTTCACACTGCCAAATAACATACTTATACTTCTATTTTCGTTCGCAAGACAAAATGCTGACAGTTACGAGCATGTCAAGTGCTTACCTCCCAACAACAGAAAAAACCCTAACAAGGTTCTGGTAACAATGATCTTCAGGAAGATTTTCAGCAACAACAATACGTGACTGGACAAAAGACAAGATGCAGGCATTATTCCCGGCACAAGCAGAGATGGATGCTGTAGACAAAAAAAGATCAGTGAGCTGACCTGCAATTCCTCTAAATCAGCATCAGTGAAAGGTTGCTGCCGCCTGACTTTCTTTCCATCATCGCTAACAACCTGAACAGTGAAAAACATCCAAACAATACATCAAGAAATGGAAACATACTTACTCAAATGAAAAAAAATTACATCCAATCAAGAAGTAAAATTAGTGGATTTTTCCTTTGGTAACAATACATATCACAGCAAAAAAATAAAATAAAAATGACGACCAGGATACGTTGCAATGTTCATCCTGTCCAATAGAACTTACAAGCTTTGAAGAAGTCCGAAGAGCACCAGCAAGCTGTGCATTATTGCTGACAAGGGCTTTTATCTTCTTAAAGCCAGCAATGACTGATATTGGGACTGTTGAAAAAACGAAACAAATTGGTAAGAATGTTTGTACTGGATAGTTTTTCTATTTAAGACAGTACCAAGCAAGAACAATGACTAATGCTAGTAGACTGATGGTGAATTGTTATTATCAAAGCTGAACAAGGAAAGAATATGGAAATACATCAAATCCCCAGAATGATGACGTTACAACCTCCATACATTCACAAAGCTAGCATTAGAGTAACTTTTTTAATTTCAGATTTGATGTGAGTCTGCCATTTCCACGTCCAAATCAAAAGAACATCTGTGCTTTTTTTTAGATTTCAGGTAAAAAAAGGAACAGCCGTCTGCTAGCTAGTAGAAATTTCACTAGGGCCATCCTTAACACCGGAATGCTCTTCAGACACGAGAGAGAGAGAGAGAGAGAGAGAGTTGTGGCGATTGGAGATGGGGTCAGAGAAAGTGTTGGCACCGTTACACTGTCAATATTCGATTGCAATGTCAGTCAAAGCTCTTATAATGTCACAAATAAATAGTCACTGTGATTTGCAGGTTTAAGAATCTGACAACTGACTATAGATCGAAATTGGCCACTGTCAGATAACTCAGATTTAGTACATAACTGGACTGATCAGATATGACACAACATACAAGCTCTGTAGGAGAGAGATATCTGACTGCTGTATTTTCTGTCCTGAGATGGTGACCATGTGCCCTTCCATCTCTACACCAGCCTCATGTGCCAACGTGACCATTAAAGTGCCAGAAGTGATCTTTGGAAACATGTAGGCAACTATGGATGCATCCTGTTCCTTATCTTTGCCTTCAATGACTGATAGAAGAATTATATTTGCGGTCATTACGACAGATTGTAGGGTACAGAACATCAGAGAAAGTCAACTGGGATGGAGATCCTTGCAAGAGCTCAATCCTTAAAGTTCAACCCTGGTCAAGCCCTAATTTTTTAACAAGAATAATTCAGATGCATTATAAATTATCTATATCCCGATGGCCAGCCAAACATTCTTGCAGTATGATGAAAGAACCATGAAGAAGGCTATAATCACTAGATAAATACGCTACAAAATTTTCACCAGTGACAAATAGACAATTTCTGACGTTAATGAAAGTTAGGAGAAAACTATCTTACCAAATCCTTCTGGATCCTTGTTGATGAACCTCATCAAGTGCTCAGTGGTGGCCAAGTTTATGTCACTGAAGTAATACTCTACCTACCATATCCAAGCAAAGATTATTTTCATGCATGAAAGTTCTGAAAGATAACGTAACATAAATGATACTGATGAGACTTTCATCACTCTGCGTATCTTAGTAAAAATATATCAAAATTAAGTCTCCAAGGGTCATTGATTTGAGGAAATCTTCGTCATCAATTCAAATCAGAGGAACCATAAAATGACATACATGATATGCAAAATGAGACTCCAGCTGTATGTGATAGATTACGAATCAATCGTCGAAACGTTTTTGAGGTAAATCTTGCAACTTTCTGGCAAATTTTGTACATGGGAAAAATCTAGTTCAATAGAGTATCAGAATTTTCACGACAACATCAAAATTACCCATTCCTTTCGTATACTACTAATACGGTTCATGTTAAAAAGGAAGTGACAAACTTAAAAAACGCTGATGTGAGGCAGGCCTCTGGACTCCCTTTACTTAGTAAGACTCCCTTACAAAGCGGAAAGCTGCCTTACTTGAAAGACGCTTTAGTTATAAGCATACACAAAATCTGCAACAATGATTGTGTATATTTTATATCTGGCGCATTACGAATGCTAATACAGTAGTTGCCTTCGATTTTCGTGGATCTGAGCCACTACCGAAAAAAAATGGAGAGGAAGCTTAGTAAATCCAAGTTGAATAGGCAAAGACAGTGAATGTTACATACAATCTAGATTATTGATATTTGTGGTCTTTTCGACTAATGTGCTATAAAAAGGTATATATTTTCTCACAAAAAGCACGAAAAATGAATGAAATAATACCTGTTTATCAATAAAGTGCATTGAACCTTTTAATGAATCTCGCATAAACCTGATAACTTTCCAAGACAATGTGGTCCAAAAGAGAGTGAAAAAATAATCATACTGACACGATATTTCATCACTATCTCATCCAAGAAGTTTAGATAGTTTTCCAAGCATCATTTGACATGCTCACTATTCGAATCCTTCGTAAGTTATTGCCGATGATTAGCTTTCTGAGATTCCAAGTTATAAGCAAGATGATACGATGACATCTAAGGCTAATTTTCACGAAATAGTGGAATTCTACAGCTCAAAAGATAATGAGTTAATGATGCAGAACTGATTCCCAGAAAATGCAAAAGGCATAAAAGGCAAAGCCCAGAAGGGCAAACAGGGTTATTAAAAGAGGAAGCAAACAATTGAGACGTCTAGGAGGCCCTTAAGGTTTGAAAGACGTTTTCTTTTAGTAGGCATTGTAAGTGTTTGCTTTTGTCCATGACATCCTTATCTTTAGCAAAACATTTATCAGATCCTATTGTCCAGGGGACCTAGAACTACTTTTTGCCTATTTAAAGAGGCACACATTGTAGACGAAGGAGGGGTTTCTGACCCACAATATTACTTCTCTCTCTCTCTCTCTCTCTCTCTCTCTCTCTCTCTCGCTCCCCTCCCCCTTTTGTGGTTTCAGGGACTCCTGTTTTCGATCCTTGCGAATTAAAGGATCACCCTCACCAATCAACGTGGATTCAAGGATTTCGCATTACATTCCTTCTGAGTTGAAGGTCCCATTTCCGCCCCACTTCCACTATGGCAGTGTTAATCTTCTCAACGAGAAGCAGGTATTCTTTCTACGTATTAGATCATTCAAGTCAAAAAGGTGCTGTGGCAAGCTGATTTTGTCTACCTACAAAAGTTTTTAGTTGAGTAGATAGGGGTCAAGATCAGCAGTGGCCAGCCATCCCCGAGATCAAAGAGGGAATTTGGCCTTTTGTATTCACAATCTACAAGGATTAGATTACATAGCGATGCACTTGACACCTTTCCACATTGCTAAACAGTCGGAAATATAACAGGATTTATTCCGATCACAGAATTTTTGTATGCGCTTTTAATACCCCTATTTTATAGCACTAGAATTTAGACTGATGCACATGTCGGACGTTTGACACCAAAAAAGTTTTGATTCCCAGGAAGCGATTTCTGATATCGATGCCACCAGAAAACAAATCTTACAATAGGTGTGAAATATGCAGAAGCACTCCGTGTAGTACGTCGTAAATTTTGGGTGGAAAACGGTAAGTAACCTGATTCGTGATCTTCTGTATAATATCGTCCGAGAGGACATCCATCGCAGCCGAAGCCGAAGCAGATGCAGGGTCCGGATCAGAGGGGGAGCGGGAGCGACCCATCTCCGGCTCCCTATACCCCCCTCCACCACCACCATAATACTCGAACTGATTCTGTACGGGGGGAATATTATGGAACGCGGGGGGCGGAGGCTGGAAGATGCGCATCACCGGTAGCGGCGGGGGAGCAGGGTGGATCTGCACCATCCGCGGATCCATCCGGCCCGAGGAGTGGCCCGCCGGCGGCGTGCGGGGAACAAACTCCGGTGCCTGCGCGTTGAGGCGGCTCAACGAGACGAGCCTCGAGAGGGAGGGTTCTGCCGAGTCCGATGCTTGATCGCCGGAAGAGGAAGCCACTTCCCGGCCTTCCGGCAACTCGTCGGCCTGGCACTGCTCTGGATTTTCGTCTGCCATCACCCTTCTGGGACCCTACTTTCTCACTCTAGGGTTTGGCGAGGAAGGAGATACCGGGAGATCTTCCCTAGCACGAGGGAATTCTCAAGCTTTCCCACCAAAGGTGGAAGGGAAATATCGAGGCCCATGCGCTGAATTCGTTGGATTTTTCACGTAAATAACACTAAAAAGATTGTATATTATCTTATTGGCCATACAAATTTTATATTTTAAAATAACCTTATTGTACAAATATCAGGAACATTACCAACGATATATTCAACTACCAAAATGTCCTAGTATTTTTAATATTTTATATTCACCCTGGCCCACTTGTCAGCTGAACCAGACCCAAATCCAGTTGCTCTTTCCTCATTGAGCTTGTCCATTTTAAATTTGTTGGGCTGTATGGTTGTGGCTGACCATGGTGGCCCAAAATGGATTAAGTAGGCCGTGTGAAAATCTTTTCCGAAACGAGGACTGGCCCAAAACTCGGATGAGAGAAGCGGACGATAACGGTATTTATGGAGAAAAGACAAAACTGTGGGGCTCATGATTTGCATTAACGGGGTCCCCTCACTGACTGCTACGCCCGGGGGCTACTTGGCTCGACAAGATTAGGCCTACGTTGTATGGCAAAACCCTCCCCCTCTCTCTCTCTCTCTCTCTCTCTCTCTCTCTCTCTCTCTCTCTCTCTCTCTCTTTCTCTCTCTCTCACACACACACACTCTCTCAGTGGTTCTTTCTCTCTGTCTTCTTCTTGTCTATGTAGAGGTCCCGGCGCTGACTAGTAAATGCTGACAGCGGCCCCAACGCGTCCTCGCCGGTCATCTGATCGTCTGCTACCTCCAGTGCGTCAACAATAACACGCAGCTGCATAATAACTGCTGCTGCCCCGACTACTACTGCGTAGCTCTCTCTCTCTCTCTCCCTCACTCTCTCTCCTGCTCTCTTCCCTCCATTCTGGAGAGTTCTTGAATAGCTGTAGGTAGCTTGTTTTAACACATTCTTTTTGTATAGAGAGGGAGAGGGAAGCATCCGCATCCGTTCCACGCACAGATCTCACGGACATGTGCCTCAGGAGGCGGGCTACTGTCGGAATATGCCCCGCCTGGGACTACGCTCCTCTCGCTCTCTCCCTTTCTCTCTCTCTCTCTCCCTCGCTCGGTCGTTCTTTATCTATCTATCTATCTTAGAATGTGGTTCCTCGGACGATCATGAGCAATAGTTTCGCATGCATTAGGGAATAATCTACCTAGCTTTTGGTTCCATTATGATTATCCCGTCGATGGGCATGCAAATTTATGTATGCGAGTAGGTCACTGTGTGTCGTGCAGCTGAGTTGCATGTGAGTGGAGAGAGGGAGGTCGGAGCTTGACCAGGGGGAGACGTGTGCAGTGGCGCAGGCATTGAAGGAGAAGGGCATCATTGCCTTGGTTGCGTCAGGGATGGTCACACGGCTCGTGGGCTTTGACTACGTCTTTGAATGAGCGTGGGCAGAATATCGGGCTATCTTTTTCACGGGTATTTATTGTATGTTCCTGGTTTCTGAGTTCTGATCGCTGTTTGCTTTGGATTTTGCTGGAGCAGAGTGAGAGGGTGAGTAGACATTGAATGTACTCCATGGACTCTTTACACCTCCCTCTCTCTCTCTCTCTCTCTCTCTCTCTCTCTCTCTCTCTCTCTCGCTCGCTCGCTCGCTCACTCATGGGGGGGTCAGTGCCTTGTGGGCACTTTTAACTCTCGCACCAAAATCCCCCGGGAACACAGACGATGGCATACACATTAAAGAACTGGATCATGAGCACAGTGGATTCACGTATTTTAATTACGGCTTCGATAGCGCGTTTATATCTCCTCCCTCTGCAGCTCTAACGTTCGCCAGGTCTTCTTCTTTCTCTATCTCGGGGAATTCGATGCGTTCCCCTCAAAGATTTCTTGACGACATAACTCGAGTCAATCGACAGTGAACGTAGTTGACTCCTATATTAAGTCAAGCCGCATGATTTTCTGTGTTCCTTTCATCGGACAATATATATGCTGTCCATGGCTATCCATACCCGGAGAAGCTTAGTGACCTATATTCATCTAAGGAGTCGATACGAGACGACCCCATTTCGACATGCATCTCCTGGAGATTTCTTGATTTCTAACCAAGAAAGCGCCCCACCCACCCCCCCGCCCCCTCAGAAACGTCGATGTCAACGACTGCATCGCACCGGAGGGAGAACACAAAGGCTGATCTTAAAGTAGACATAAATCACGCTACATGGAGTGTTACTGTAGAGATCGGAACACGAGAAGGTGATAAGTCCTATCCCTGGAATGAAAATGAGGAAGGAGAAGAAATTCCCATCTTTCTGTAAAACTCCCCCTCCTTTAGGCGCTTCTCGAGCAATGTCCGCCCTCAACCTGCAAGCCAACAATCGTAGAGTAAGAGAGAGAGCATACAGAAGAGAGAGAGAGAGAGAGAGAGGGTACAGGAGGAAGATGAGGAGGGGATAAATTTTCATTAACGATGAACCATGAAGCGGAGAAGAATGCGCAATGAAAATCTCTTTAAACGAATAGGAAACCCCATCCAATTATATGAAAGCATGCTCTACGAAAGAAGAACTTCCCTATAATTCCTCTAACTCCCTTGAGGTAATTAAATACTCTGAGGGACCTGGAGACCTAGTGGTGTTATCACTGTAGAAACTTTTTTCTCAGAGACAGTGAATAGCATCCCTCTCGTCCATCAATTCAAGGCGTTGGAACTGGAAATATGTAGGGTACTACTTGAAACTTAGCATAAGATCTCGACCTGGTTCCCTTTTAACAGGTTGATTGGCTCATTCAATGCAAACAAAATAAAACAATCGGGTTCGCTATGCTCTCTCTCTATCTCTACATCAATGAGCTTTTAATACATGCATCAGTAACCAGTAGTATGCAGATTTATATGTGGTACATGTATATGTCGACTTGCCTACTGAGGATATGAATTTATACGTAAATATGGATAGATTTAAATAGAGAGAGAAGGAGAGAGAAAGAGAGAGAGGATCTCTCGAACTTTGCTGTCTGGGCCTTCATCTATTTCCTTTGTTTTGATATGATTCTTCAATCTAGAGCTGAGATGGAATGCTACGTTTCTCGTAAGCTCTGCTAAAGAGACCTCGCTTCTTCCTACTGTTACCAGCTGATGGATAAAGGGACGAAAGGAACGTATTGGAGAGAGGAGCGCACCTGGGAGCGACAAGAGCGAAGAGTTTGTGATCCTAAGATGGTCCGATCGCCTGCCTTTCGTTTCCCCCTGCTGTCCTCGTCTTGGAGAACTGCCCACCCAACGGACCCAGACCCGCCGACATGTTCATCGCCGCCGCCATGAACCCGGCGTCGTATCCGACGTTGGATCCCACGCCGCCGGCCATGTCGGCGTCATAGCTCCTCATCAGAAGGTGGTGATGGTCTCTGCCGGCTGGCACGGCGAGGAAGGGCTCCCTACCCATAGCGATCCCCCGGAAGCCGACGGGTTTATTGACGTTGACGTTGACCAGGGCTGACGTAGCCGAGGCCTGGTACTTGGAGAGCTCTGACTTGGCGCAGGAGAGGTCCATCTGGAGCTGCCGGAGCTGGTGCTGAAGGATGGAGATCACGCCAACGCAGCCGTAGACGGGGTCCCGCAGCCTCATCTCGGCCTCGTAGGCCAAGGAGTTGACCGCATCTTCCCGCTGGTACGGGGTGAGCTCGTTGAGGAGCTTGGTGACGTTGCTGGCTCCGAAGACTTTGTGTACGTGGGCGAACTTCTGGGGTTGATCAGGCGGGAAGTAAGGGGCGAAGACGCAGTCCGGCTGGCACTTACGCCTCAGGAACTTGCACGCCGCGCAGGGGGAGCTCGTCGGTGATGGGGCCGCCGCCGCCGCCGCCGCCGTAGCCGTGGTCAACGCCATCGCCGCCGACGATGGCGCCATCATAGTGATCCCACCAAAAAGTCCTGCTCGAGAGATTCCAATTGTATATTAGATTTCATGGGCAAGTGGGTGATTTCCATGCATGCTTGGAAAAGGAAAACTTGATTCCAATCTAGTTTTTCCGCATGTTTTGCTCTCACTAGGGGAACTTAAACAGGTTCTGAGGCGAAAAGGATCTCATTTCGGATCCGGGATTTTCATTTTTCTTCTTTCCCCTCGCTGTTCTCTTTGTGGAAGAGCAAATGGTCTTGGGCCTTAGAGAGAGGAAAGAGAAAGATAACAGGAGCTACTGATACGGAAGATCGGATTCCAAGGGATTCATCTGAGTCAATGCATGATCTACATAATATATGCGGAAAGATTGAGAAGGTGTCATAGTTTTTGTCTCTCTACGAATCTCTCGCAGCCTCCGGATTGTGTCCGAAAAATAATAATACCAATCATGGGCATGCTGATATCCAGGAAGAGACAGTGTAGAAGGAAAAAAGAAGAATCTCTAAGCAGAAAAAGGAAAAATTAAATGAGAAACCAAAATCTTTCCCGCATGAACTTTCCATTTGGTGTTTCTCTCCCTCGATCCGATTGATTCTACGATTACCCACAAAATAAAGGTTCAAAAAAGGAGAAAATTTAGAAAACTGTCTACCATCGCGACTCTCTCTCTCTCTCTTTCACTCTCTTTCTCGCCTACCGGCAGGACTATCTCTCATGCCCCGAAGTTGTTCGGACCGTTTCTGTTTACTTGGGTTGATTCAATGATGGAAAGAAAGAAAAGAAGAAGGTGGCTCGCCTTCTGGATGACGACGAACTTGTCGGCGTTCTCCAATCAGAGGGCGACGACCTCGGTTTGCTCTCCTCTTCTTTCTCTCTCTCACAGACCTTCTCCTCTTTCTACATCCGCGGCCTCCCCACGATCTCTGGTGTGACTTGGTGACGAGGAAGAACAAGAACAAGAAGAGGAAACGAGGAGAGCTAGGTAAACATATGTACAATGAGAGAGAGAGAGAGAGAGAGGGAGAGATAGAGGGGGGGGGAGGGGGAGGGGGAGGGTGAGATGGACACTGAAAGATGGTGGAGTGGTGGCGACCGAGAAAATGGAGACACAAAGATGAGACTTCATTTTATATTCGTACGCCTCTAAATAAGGGGATGCGTGCAAACCGGACGTCGTTCCGACCAGAGGGCTGCCTCGTCTTCTCCCAAAGCAAGGACAAAAATTTCCAATATTAATGATCCTACGATTATTATAATCGGGCTGATTTTTCTTTCTTACAATGATATTAAACTCCTGAGAGATTGCTAAAATGTATAAGAGATTACCTATGTTTTGGGGAAAATGGAGGGAATGGGATGGGGCTGGGCCGTGGGTGGCGGGCTCGTGGTCGCATGTTGCATGTCGTGATTTGACCTCACGGCTCATTAAATCCGACGACCTGCGATTTGTCTTGTATGGATTGGGTTGGAGTGAAGCTCCGATGGCGTGCCCATCCTATTCACCACCGCACCTGCTCGCATCCTCCCTCAAAAACAAAATATTCATGCTAATAATCGCCCTCTTGCCAGGCATTCAATGCTCGGTGCGTACATGCACCTATACTCTATCCTCTGTCTCTGTCTGTCTCTGTCTCCTCTCTCTCTCTCTCCCTTTCTCCCTATCGCTGACTATTTATCCCTCTCCATTTCTTAGTATCCCTTTCACTCTACCCCCCTCCCTCTCTCTGTATCTGTCTCTCTCCCTCCCTCTCTCTCTCTCTCTTTCTCTCTCTCTCTCTCTCTCTCTCTGTCTCTCTGTATCTGTCTCTCTCTTCCCCCCTCCATAGCTCTCTACATCTCTTACTATGTCTCCTCTCTATCTCCTGATAATATCTCTCTCCATCTCTCTCTCTCTCTCTCTCTCTCTCTCCTCCCCTAGATAATTATCTATATCCCTAACTGTATCTGCCCCGCTCTCCTCTCTCTCCGCCATTCCGTAGCTCTCCATATCTCCCATAATATCTCCCTCGTCTGTTTGTCTGTCTCGTTCCAAACACCGAGTTAATAACTTGACTGCTCCCCAGGAAGTCCCACTAGAACAACAACAAAACAAAAGAATTCAATGGCGGTGGGGGGCGGGGAGTCTTCCGCGGCAAGGCCCGCTCAGATCTCGGGGGGTAAAAGAAGCGCCGACAGTATTCACGGTGGGGCAACCTCGTTATTTCCTTTATAACTCCCCCTCTTCTCTCTCTCTCTCTCTCACTCTCCCTCTTTCTCTGGGTATTCAATCTGGGATAGTTTTAAATTAGAAGGGAAGCCCGTCAACATCTTGGGTCCGAATTGGCGAAGAAACCTAAAGTCAATGGGGTCGCTGGAGTCTCCTGTGCTTCCGCTTTCCGCAGATCCAAACGAGGATGAAAGCGGCTCCCGCTGCTCATGCAGGGGCCGGCTAATCCTTTCTGCATGACTCCGGGAAGGAGAGAGCCAGAGTCTCTCCGTGATGTCGACGAACTTTGGGAAGATGCGGTGTACCTTCTGGTACGACCTGTCTTGAGCATTATTTCCTAGAGAGAGAGAGAGAGAGAGAGGGAGAGAGGGAGAGAGGGAGAGATAGAGAGACAGAGACAGGTAGCAAGATAAATAGATGGATAGATAAGAGAGAGAGAGAGAGAGAGAGAGAGAGAGAGAGAAAGAGGGAGATGAAGATAGAAAGATAGAGACTGGCAGGAAGAAGAATAGATAGATAGATAGATAGAGAGAGAGAGAGAGGGATGGTCCACCGGCTTACACGGAGGAACTAAGAACAGGAGGGTTTCCCACAGTTCGCGGCGTTGCTACGCCAACCGTGCGCCCCCGCCCACGGCGGCGCAGCCGCAGATCGTCGGGACACAGGCAGGCCAACTGAGGTTCTCAGGGTAGGGGATGCGGCGATGTGAGAGTTTAACGGTGACAGGTCAACGTCAGGGGAGGAGAAGACGACGGCTCATGGGGTCCACTTCCGCCTCGTCCTCCCTCCGCGGTCGGGGGGACAAAACGTATGGACAGAGACGAACTCTTCAGAGGTGGGTAGGTGGAGAAGAATTATGCAGTCCGGGGCGGTGGTTGGCTCAAGTTATGGTCACTCGCGGTGACAGTAACGGGGTGACGTCCCCGGTCCCCGTGGCGTTTTCCTATTCGTCCTCAGCTGAGAGGTCTATTGCATTAACGTCGCAAGCATATACCTCCCCCCCGGCCCCCTATTGATGGGCCCACCACCGAAGCCCAATAAAATAGCCTTAATGGGCCCCGATAGGTAGCCCACTGTTAAACGCTCTGACTTCCCTATTGACAAGTTGGGTCGGTCTTAATTGACCGCTGGGCCCACACCTGGACCGCAGCCCACTCTACGTAATTGGGTCGTGTTATGCTTCCACTGGGTCAATGGGAACCTTCCAGGTCAGCTCACCCACCCTGTGGCTCTGATCTTTCCCTTGAGCTCTCACCGTTGACTCCGAGTTTTAATGGCAACGGCCCATTTAAGGTTGCAGAATCCGGCTCAAAAGTCTACGTTGATGTGGATACTTGAGATAGTTAGCGGGCCTGTTCTGCCCCAGAGCCCAACCCAGTTTATTTTCTTCTGGACCTTGGCCCATTAGGAGCCCAAAGCCCCCATCCAGTTGCCCAAAGCCCCTCCATCTCGTTCGAGGAAGGATCCAATAAAGCTGAACAAAAACCAAAGTTTTAGCATGCCCATGGATGAATCAACCCATAATTATGCATAAACCCTCCGGGTTCTGTGGTATTACCGATCTATACTTCCCTACTTGAGCCCGTATGGGTAGAGAAAGGCCTCGTTTTTAGCCATTCTTGGCCCCTTCGTCTTCCTCAGCTTCCAAGTCCAACCCAACCAGGCCAGCTCGGATTTGTTCTCTCGAAGTCTGATATATTTAATAAGCAAAGCATCTGGGCCGGTGAGAATAAGTCCCAGTCCATAAAAAGAGCCTTAAATAGGAATGGAGATGGGCCAGGAGACCATTTACAGTGCCCAAAAATGGGGCCGTACATAGGGAAAAGGCCTCGGGTGGGACCCTACGAAACGTCAGTCTAGCCCGAATATGCGGCTAGAGAGAGAGGGAGGGAGAGAGAGAGAGAGAAAGAGAGAGAGTAGCCCGTTTCTTGGGAACACACTAGTCTGAAGGATTATCCCTCTGGTTCTCTTTCTGAATCGGTCCTCTGATCGCTTCCATTGAAATGTATCCTGAGATCCAGAGTTAGAACGTAGAGGACGACATGGATGACGCCCAGCACGAAGATGAAGATGTGGATGTCTCACTTAGCGAGAGAGGCGGGAGTGGGACCTTACCTAAAGAGAAGAACAACGAGAGGTCTTGTTAGTTTAGCCTTTTACGATGGTCGACCCGTTAAGATTACATAACAATTCCTATGTCGGGCGCGCATGTAGAAAGGGTAGAAGAAAGAAACCTAGAGAGAGAGAGAGATAGAGAGACGCAAAGACAGAGAGACAGCGAGAATGAGAGGCAGACAAAGAGAGATAGAGAGAGGGACTGTGGATGACCTACCCTCTACCTTTTAAGTAGGAGGCATGAGATTACATGGACGACTTTGGAACCATACGAAGGAGGTCTATGGAAGAGTAATCATTGTCGAGAGAGACACCTTCCCGAGCACACATGCATTAGACGATCGAGGGTAAGCGAGATGAAGACGATGACGAAGCACAAGGCCGCTACAAACCTACGTTCGCGTGTATTCCACCGTTCTCTTCCTTACGGCCTCAACCGCTACAAACCCGTACGCACCCCCTCCTCTCTCTGTCTCTGTCTGTCTGTCTGTCTCTCTCTCTCTCTCTCTCTCTCTCTCTCTCTCTATACTCTAGACGTGCTCCGAGTAGCTATCGATCGACTCAACACCAGTAAGTCTGCCTGGACGAACTGCAAGGAGACTTGGCTCATCCCTTCCTGTTAGTTATGAAAACAGCTCCGGTGCCTCCGATTTTACATCTAAAT